TTACCAGTAAAAGCTGTTTTGTTGTTTTGAGCTCCTGAGAATCTTTTGTTGGTATTGCTCCAGTGAGTTCAACTCAGAGTATGGAAAGAATTGTAATTCCTTTTAAATATCTCTTTTAGAGAGTTGTTTGGGGGATGGGAGTCAGGGCTTGTGTGCCCTGCTTGGCACAGCCCAGGCAGGGCTTTCCCAGCCACATTCCACACTCCATTTCCCAGCTGGAGCCCCTGCTGCCTCTGAGTTGTGCTGCCCCAGCCCCAGGGACGCTCTCCTTGTCTGCCCATTCCCCCACGGTCTCTGGGCAGGGATGGCCTCAGTGGGGGCTGCTGACATCCTCTGCACCTTGGAGGCTGCTGCTGAATTGTCCTGCTCCAGAGGCTTGTTCAGCCTTCAGCTCTTCAGTGCAGGAATACACTGTCTCAGGGCTCATTAACATTGAGAACACCTTAAAAAGCCAAGCCTCTGAGAACAATTTAATTTTAATTTTTAAATATTTTGCGGTTAATTAGACAAATTCCAGTAGTGTATTCAAGTTGAATAGATTCTATTTAAAAAGACAGTGAGAAAAGATTTCTTAGGTCAAATTGAGGGTTTTTTCCCCCTGTCCATTTACATATACATGCAATCTCCAGCTGACACTGAATCCAAGTACCTCCTTATGCAGTTGGAATAGATATGAAAATCAAGACCCTTGATGGCTGACAATCAATTAGACTCTGTCTCTACCCCCACCCCACCATTTCCCCCATCCAAGCCCTGGCACTCAGAGTAGCCTTGTACAAATCTGAGCTCCCTCCAGGCCAGGCTGCACCTGCAGCTTTCAGCTCCTTGGCTCCAACTTCCACCTGCTTTCTTTGGAGAAGGAGCTGCCCGAGAAACAGAGGGATGTTCATTTCTTTTCAGCCAAGAAACCCCTGGGAACTAAGGTGTGTGCTGGAATTCAATGCACTCCCCATCCCACAGCAGCCCTGCATTTCCCTCCTGCAGCCTTGGTCTCCAGCACAGCCATGGAGGCTCTTTGGGCTCTGGAGTGTTGCTGCAGCCCCCAAGGGCAGCTGAGCTCTGCCTTTGGCACAGTCAGGCCTGGCCAGCACAGGCCTCGCTCAGCAATTGCTTGTGTGAGCCTGGCCTTGCTGTCAGCCCCGGAAGTGGCTGCGTGGCCCCTTTGTGGTCCTTTGCTTGCCCAGCCATGGTGGCTCAGCCCCTGTGCAGGCCCAGCCCAGGCCAGGAGCATTGCGGCTGGGAACGGCCCTTGTGCCGTGGTGCCCACAGCAGCCTTGGGGCTCTGTGCCCCATGGCCTCCCTGCTGGGCAGTCTCTGCCAGCTCCTACAGAGCCCGTGGCACCTGTGGGGATGCACAGACAGCCCTGCCCCGGGCTCTGCCACCCTCTGGGCCAGCAGAGAGGCAGCCAGGGCTGGCCATGGCTGGGAACAGGCCCTGAGCCCTGCAGGAGGATGGAGCTGGGCCACAGCCAAACTCAGCCCAGGCCAAAGCTGGGCTCAGCAGTCAGGGCTGCCTAGGCAAGGGCACAGAGGCTGGTGCTGACAAATATCCTGGGCCCCCTCCCTGCTCTGTCCATGCCCCCAAGGGCACAGAGCAGCCTCCTCTCTGGGCCACTTGCCTGTTTGCAATGCCTTGCACAGGCGCTGGCCCTGCCCCACAAGGCCTGGCCTGATTCCTGCCCCTGCACACTCAGCCAGGCTGAGATGGACACTGATGGTTTCTGGGCCAGGCTCTCTGAGCCCAGCCCAGCTCCCTGCAAGCTCTGTCAGCTGCCCTGAGCTCTGGGCAGCACCAAGGGCCTCTCCCAGCCCAGCCCAGCCGGCTCTGGCCCCACAGCTCTGCTCAGGCCAGGCTGCTCTGGGCACTGCCCCATGGCCTCAGCCCCTGGCAAGGGCACAGCAGCAGCTGCAGCTGCCACAGGACTCAGCCCCAGCCATGGGGGAAGGTGCTTGGCCAAGGCCAAAGGAGGCTCCCTGGCTGCCCTGCTCTCCGCTGCCTGAGGTGCTGAGAGCTCTGCAGCCCCTGCTGCCATCCCATCTGCCCAGGGCAGCACAAGAGCCCCGGCCTTGGGGCCCTCAAGAGCTGCTCCTGCTCCAGGCCCAGGGTAGGGCCCATCCCAGAGCTGGGGCAGCCACAAAGTTGTGCCCATTTCTGTTCATTGCTGCTCTGATGGGGATGGATCCTTAGCCACTTGGAAGTTGCGGGAGAACTTTGCTTCTCCAGAGGCGTCTTCTTTCTTGACCACTTCAGTTCAGGAATTCAGTGTAAAAGGCTCATAAATATTTGTTCCAAAACACCTGAACAAGAAGAACCCCAGGGAATTATATAAATATTCAATTTGACCGTGGTAATTATACACATTTAAGAAGTATATTCAAAGTGAATATACTATATTGAGAACAATGCAGTGAGAACTGTTTTGTCCTCTTTTCTTTTCCTATTTATAGATTGATATCAGCAATGTCCAATTGATATTGACTCCCAGACCCTCCTAATGCAGTCTGAATACACATGAAAATCAAGACCCTTCATGGCTGCCAATCAATAACACTTTGTCCCTACCCCCTCCCTACCATTTCCCTCAGGAATGATGTGTCCAGCAGGAGCAGGGCAGTGATTCTTCCCTTGTGCTCAGCACTTGTTGGGAAGCACCTCAAGTTCTGTGTGCAGTTCTGGGCCCCTCAGTTTAGGAAGGACATGGAGGGGCTGGAGCGTGTCCAGAGAAGGGCAACAAGGCTGCTGAGGGGTCTGGAAAAGAAGTCCTGTGAGGAGTGGCTGAGCGAGCTGGGGCTGTTTATCCTGGAGAAGAGGAGGCTCAGGGGAGACCAGGCAGTGTCAGGGCACAGATTGGACTTGATTATCTCCAAGGTCTTTTCCAACCCTGCTGATTCTGGGATTCTCTCAAACCCTTGGAGCAGTCACAGGATGAGCCCTGGGCCTCCTCTTCAGAAGCTGCAGCAGCCCAAGTCCCTCAGCTTCTCCTCACAGCCCCAAAGCCCAGCCTGTCAGTCCTGCAGAGCCTCTGCAGCTCCTCCTCATTGCCCAGAACAGGCAGCTCCAGAGCCAGACACAGCAGCCCAGATGTGTCCCCCTGGCCTGGGGTGCCTCTGGCAAGGGAGCAGCGCGAGGCACTGCAGGAGCCTGCAGACAATTCCTACAGCACTTGTAGGATGATCCTGCTCCCCAAGGGACGTTCCCATGGGGCCAAGTCAGGAACTGCAATGGGGAGTGGGGCCAGACAGGAAAGGGCAAAGAAGGATGGGATGTTTGCAGGGGAAGGAACAGGGATGGGCAAGAGCAAGAAATTTATATCGGGGAAAGAGTAAAGAAAGCAAAGGTGAAGCAAAGGAAATGCTCAGGGCAGTTTGGGGGTGGCTGCCAGGCAGCCCTGGCTCTGCGCAACATTGTCTGCAGTGGGACAGGAAACTCCCAGCTGATGGGAACAAACTTGCTGGCTGACTGCAGAGGCCAGGACAAAGCTGAGTGGTTTCCCTGGTGTCCCCCAGCCCTTGCTGGCCCCAGGGGCTGATGGCATTTGTGCTCCCTCAGGTTCATGTCCCCACACCAACAGCATGGGGGTGCTCCCCCTGCTGTGTACAATGCAAACAGGGGCTGCTGAGCCAGTGATGCTGTGTCTGTGCCTGCAAGGATGGGGCACCTGTGTGAGCTGGGGGAGAGGCCAGGGCTGCAGAGGGGGGATGTTGTTGGCAGCTCCATGAGGACACTCTGGGTCACTGCCCTGGGCTGTGCAGCGCACTGGGGATGGATCAGCCCCTGCTCTGCTGCTCCTTCCCATCTGCCCCACGGCCCTTGCAGAGCCCCAGCCATGCTGTTTGTACCCAGCCTGCCCACGGCCAGCCTGGGACTGCTCATGGGGCTTTTCTGTGCTGAGCACTGGCCTGGGTGTGTTCTTGAGAGAGCCTGGGCAAGGAGCCTGGAGCCCCCAGGCCCTGGCCTGAGGCGTCAGCGCTGCCCCAGCAGAGCCCATGGCCTGTCCTTGCTGCAGCCCCGGCACTGCCACCCCCAGGGCTGTGCCCGGCCCTGGGAGCACTCAGGCCCTGCAGCAACACCAGGGCCACCAGGGCAGCGGGGCAGGGCCATGGCAGCAGCACTGGCAACACCAAGTGCTGCTGCTGCTGGGCACAGCTGCTGCGCCAGCCCTGATCTGCCCCCAGCTCTGCACACAGACATTGCTGCTGCAGCTCCAGGGAAGGCAACAAAAGGGCATCTCTGTAGAAAACTTTGCTGCAAGATCCTTTAGTTCCTTCACATACACCAAGAGTGCAGCCCCTCATTGACACAGTCTGTGGTCACAGGGAAGGTGGAGAGAAAGAAATTGAGAAATGACACAAACAATGGATTTTCATTGTGCAAATATTATTAAATTAAAACAAAAAAAGAAAGATAAACCACAACCAAACAAACAAGAAGTATCAAAGATGACTTTTATTACAAGTGATTTGCAGAAATTGGCCAGCAGTTTAATGTGGAGAGCCTGGTTCAAGCATGGCTTAAAGAAAGAGGCCATGAAGGTATACAGCTGATGGAAAAGTAAAAGATAGCTGTAAAGCAGCATTTCCCAGGCTTGATTCTGTAAATAATTAGGTTTTCAAGCACATTTTTATAAACAATAAGATTCTCAGACAGTCTTCTCATAACAGGCAAACATTCTGTCCTTGGCTGCTCTGGGAACAGATAGCTGCTCTGGGAACAGATATGAAGGTTTTGTGAACTTTTCATATCACGGTGAGAACACTGATCCTGGTTTCAATAAACAAACCACAGGTATTGTAAACAAAAGGAGGGTTGGAGTTTTCTCTGTAGCCTATCATGAGCTTGAATTTTGCAATATGCATGAAGTCAATTAACATTTTTATAAAAGGTGCCTGATTTGTTCAATAAATCGGAGTCGATGCTCATCAATCGGATGGTCGTCTCCCTTCACTTCAATAGTTTAATGTTCCTGAAACCATCCTGTCATCAGTCTCCACACTGCAGCCTTGAGCTGCTGGTTCCTCAGGCTGTAGATGAGGGGGCTCAGGACTGGAGGCACCACTGAGTACAGAACAGATAGTGCCAGATCCAGGAATGGGGAGGACACGGAACGGGGCTTCAGGTAGTAAAATACAGCAGTGCTGATGAACAGAGAGACGACTCCCAGGTGAGGGAGGCAGGTGGAAAAGGCTTTGTGCCGTCCCTGCTCAGAGGGGATCCTCAGCACAGCCCTGAAGATCTGCACATAGGAGAAAACAATGAAGACAAAACAACCAAGTGCTAAAGAGATGGAAAATAGAATAACCCTAAGTTCCCTGAGGTAGGAATTAAAGCAGGAGAGCTTGAGGATCTGGGGGATTTCACAGAAAAACTGGCACAGGGTATTGCCATGGCACAGGGGCAGGGAAAATGTATTGGCTGTGTGCACCAGTGAATAAAGAAAAGCACTGGCCCAGGCAGCTGCTGCCATGTAGGCACAAGCTCTGCTGCCCAGGAGGGTCCCGTAGTGCAGGGGTTTGCAGATGGACACGTAGCATTCGTAGCACATGATGGTCAGAAGGGAAAATTCTGCTGAAATGAAGAACAGAAAGAAAAAGAGCTGTGCAGCACATCCAGTGTAGGAGATGTTCCTGGTGCTCCAGAGGGAATTGTGCATGGCTTTGGGGACAGTGGTGCAGATGGAGCCCAGGTTGCTGAGGGCCAGGTTGAGCAGGAAGAAGAACATGGGCGTGTGCAGGTGGTGGCCGCAGGCTACGGCGCTGATGATGAGGCCGTTGCCCAGGAGGGCAGCCAGGGAGATGCCCAGCAAGAGGCAGAAGTGCAGGAGCTGCAGCTGCCGCATGTCTGCCAATGCCAGCAGGAGGAAGTGCCTGATGGAGCTGCTGTTGGACATATGCTGTGTCTTGGCATGAGGATCTGTAGAAAAAGTAATCATGGAATAGCTGGGTTTGGAAAGGACTTTAAATATCCCAGCACAGCTTGGGGGCACTTTCCCCCCTCTGCCTGCCCAGGGCTCTGCTGCCTGGAGCTGTCCCTGCCAGCAGTTGCTTCCCTGTGCCCAGGGCTGGGCCCTGCAAGTGCTGCCAGAGCCCAGCCCAGCCCTGGGGGCTCAGCTCTGCCCTGCAGACCCCTCCCAGCTCTGACACTGCCCAAGGGAGCTCTGGATCTGCAGGGTCTGATGGCAACGTCAGAGCAACCCTGAGGAGGCTGCAAAAGGGACACTGATGCTGCCTGTGAGGGGCCCTGTGCTGATTTATGTCACTCCCTGGTTTATCCAGATCTTAGATAACACTTTTTTTTTGTCCACCTGAACTGAGAAATGAAAATATATCTCCAGTTTCCCATCCTGGCAACCCAGAGCAATAGATTATTAAAGCAGGATTTTCCCTTTTATGCAACCCCTGCCTTCCTGCGCTCCATGTATAATCTACGTGGAAATGTTCTGCAGTCAAATGCCATGCTGAGAGCAGTCCTGAACAATGCAGCGTCCTCCCCTCACAAGGAGAACACTTCCAAGCCTTACCAGCTGTCTCCTCCAACCCAGATCTTGTCCCCCAGTGCTGGGAGCAGCTGCCAGGGCTGGTTGAGAGCTGTTCCTGGCAGGCAGCAGAGTCCCTGCCCCAGCACAGCGCCCTGGGCTGCAGGACCCTGCTCTGCAGGACAGCCCTGGGCACCCCGGCTGCTCTGCAGAAGAGACAATCAGAGAATGTACTCACAGAGTCTGTAGGCATTGGGATGTTCTAGCTTCAGGAGATCACTCCAGGAGATGCAGCTGCATTGTCCTGCAGCCCAAGGTTCCTGTGCCAAGGGCGGGCAGTGATTCTGCCCCAGGCACTTCTCAGCATCTTCCCAGCCCTGACTGATTGAAGCTCTTTGCGCCTCTGTGCTGTGCCTGGGGTGACTGCAGGCAGTGCCCCAGCCCTGCTGGGCTGGCAGAAGAGCTGCTCATCAAGAGAAATGTGCTTTTGAAGCTCTTCTGGGTTACCAGGAGCTACCTCTGTGCCAGGAGCCCAGCCCAGCTCAGCAGCACAGACACAGCACAGGGAGTTCAATGAGCCTCTGGGGCTTTGTGCTCAGGCCCTGAACATCAGTCCCTGAGAGAGAGCAGAAGAAACCTCTCCAGAACTCCAAGTCAGAATCGAACTCCAAAGTTTCTTGGACTTTTAATGGGTCCCACCGAGGTTCATGACTGAGAAAGTGTCCCCAGGCCCCAGGCAGAGCAGAGAACTGGAGGCAGTGATGACAGGTTAGGACAAAGAGAAGCCAAGTCTTGGTGCCTTGAGGCACATCAGCAGGGTCTGTGCCACCCACGGCTGGGAGGAGACGCCTTTTCCTGAGGCCGTCGGGCCTCCTGGCACAGCCCCAGCCAGGCTGGGCACTGTCAGCCCCTTGTTCTGCCTTCAGCATCCCCCCCTAGCCCACATCCCAGTGGCCTCAAGGATCTGCTGGAAGGAGTCCCTGGGGAGCCTTGCTCAGCAATGGCCCTGGGGGCTCTTTAATGCTCACAGAGTTTTTCAAAGGACTTTGGGTTTGGCTTTTGCCTTGGAGTCTCTGAGAGGTTTGTGAAATCATAGCCTCCAATTATCTGCTGTAATGAGTCTCTGGAGAGGCTTTGTCAGTAACACTCAGTGGGGCTCATTAATGCTTCAAGTTACTTCAGTTATTTTACGGTACTTGGTGTTTCCCTTTTGATACAGACTCTGTGAGAAGTTTGTGCAATCATGGCCCCAATTATCTGCTTTAACGAGTCCCTGGAGAGGTTTGTACTGACACTCAGTGGTGCCTATTAATACTTTGAAGTACTCAAGGTTTTTAAAGTACTTTGGATTTTCCTTTCCACACTGAATCTCTTAGAAGTTTTTTTGCCATCCTGGCCTCCAGTTCTGTCCTCCAAGGAGTCCATGAGGAGCCAGTGTAGGGGATGGACCTCAGTGGGACCCATCCATGCTTTGAGACACTTTGGGGTTTTCTTCTAACTTTGACTCCTGGAAAGGTTTGTGTAATCTCCTCTCCTCTCAGGCCCTGAGATTCCAGGGCTCAGCTCCAAATGCACCGTGTGGCTCATTAGGATCAAACAAGTCCTGACAAACCATGGTTCTGCCTTGATTTCCCTCTGCTCTAGTGCAGTTCATCAGAAATATTTCTGTAGTGGTTTTCATTCACCAATTTGAGATTTCTTGGAGAATGCAGCAATTATTGTAGTGGGTTCAGTATTGGGTAATTACCAGTGCACTCAGTAGAATACACTTACTCATTTCCTCTTGTGTGATAAGGTTAGGAGAACAGCAAAGCAGGCTCAAAACTTTAAGAGGGCATGAGGAAAAGTTCATCAATAGCAACTAAAAGAAAGAGTAAGAAGAACAAAACTTTCAGAACACTTCTCCTCTCCCTGCAACCTTTTCTTTCTTACTGACAATATAGAGAGACAAACCTAGAATTTTCAGTCAGTTTACCCCAACTGGAATAGTCTTTCTTGAGTTCACTTAGGGAGAGAAGTCTCTCTTTCATGCTATGGAGACTTCTCCAGAAGAAACACTTCTCTTGTGGCTCTCAATTTCCATGAATAGCAACTGCCCAGAAAAATCTGCAATTGTGACATCCCTCCCAGTTTTTCAAAGCTCTTTTACAGATGTGTTTATGGGCCATGTCAACCTATGGGGCATTAGTTTAAAGATGAGCTGTTTAAGAGCAAAGGTTTTCCTCATCTATTTCTGAAATCATCTTCATCTCTGAGAACAGAGATCTTTTTCTTCTCCCTGTGAAGGCACAGGATCTCATCACTCTTCCCTTTTTCAATGTTCTAACTTCTCACGGGATCACAGCTACTTCAACATTTGCTTACTTTAGCATGGAGGCCTTTGCTGAACAAGTCAAGTCTCCATAATTTTCAATGCGATACAGGGAAAAACAGAGTCTGGTGTATCAGTTACATCCTTCTCCATAGCTTTACAAGAGGATTTCAGCCCCAAGATCAGGACATCTCCTCATCCCTCCCATCTGGGACTCAACTTCCTCTTCATGACCTTGGTGTCTTCCTGTTGCTCCTGTATGTGCCTGCACTTTGTTCTTTTCTCTCACTCGAGGGAGGATGGAAGCACTGAAAGAGGTAATATCTCACCCGGGGCCTGCAGATGGTTCCGTGACCCCGGCCGGACTCGGTGCTTGTAGCCAGACCTGCTCCCTGTTCCCTTGGTTCCATAGGGCCCCATAGTGTCCCAGTGGTCCCTTGCTTCCATGAGGACCTGAGGTGTCATAATGCCCCTTTGGTGACACAAGGCCCTGAAGGGTCACAATGGTCTTCATGGTTCCATCAGGCCCCACAGAGTCATAATGGTCTCTGTGCTCCATGCCTGCTGTGTCACCATGGCCCCTTGGTTCCATGGGCTCCAGTGGTGCCACAATGATCCCCTTGGTTCCATGAGGTTCCCACAGTGTCCCAGGGATCTTCATGGGAAGGAAAGAACCCAGCCCCGGTGTTGCAGGGGCAGTCACCAGAGGCCAAGGCCAGCCAGATTTGATGGTACTGACAGATTTTACCTGGGAGCAACCCTTGGATATACATAATTTTTTAGGTGGAATCCCAATTTCAGACATGGACACCTGGAGGAGAAGGACAGTTCTTTTACATAGGAAGGAAAGCACGGAACACCGGTATTTGAGGGGCAGACGAAAGCTGGTCATCAGAGGCCTAAGTCAGTCAGACCTCTCTGTTCTAGTTGCTTTTGTATGAAAGTAACCCTTGGATATAGGGAATTTGGGAGGTGGAATCCCAATTTTGACCATTTCTTTGTAGATAAGAATGACAGTTCTTTTTCATAGGAAGGAAAGCACAGAGCCCAAGTGTTTCAAAGGCAGATGAGGAGACAGGTGGCTCCTGTCCTGGCTCCCAAGCCAGCCAGACCTGATTGTCATGGCAGCTTTTGTCATGGAGGAGTCCTTGGATATATGAAATTTCAGAAGAGAAATCTCAATTTTGACCTTGGACTCCTTGACAAGAAGGATGGTTCTTTTCCATAGGAAGGAAAGCATCAAGCCACAGTGTTTCGAGGCAGGTGAGGGACAGCTCCCTAGCGGCAAGGGCAGCTAGACCTCCCTGGCTTTCATTTGGGAGCAATCCTTGGATGTACGGAGTTTTGGAGGTAGAATTCCAGGTTTGGCTATGGGCACCGGGTCAGGATGGATGGTTTTTACCAGTAGGAAAGAAAAATGCCAAGTCTAATTGTTTTGGAAGAAGATGAGAGGTGGCCACCCTTAGGCCAACACAGCCAGACCTCTCTGTCCTGCCACCTTTCATCTAGGGACTCTCCTTGGACATAGGGCATTTTGAAGGTGGAATCTCATATTTGGCTGTGGGTACCTGGACAGGAAGACAAGTCCTTTCCATTAGGAAGGAAATCACAGAGCCCCAGTGTTTCAGAAGCAGATGAGTGCCAGCCCTCAGGAAGCCAAGGTCAGCCACACTTGTCAGTCCTGGCAGCTTTGTCTGGGAGCTATCCTTGGATATAGGGAATTCTGGAGGCAGATGCCAAATTTTGGCCATAAGCAACTGGTCAAGATGGATGTTTTTTTCCATAAGAAAGAAAAGCACATGGTCCCAGTGTTTCAAAGGCAGATGAGAGGTGGCCCTGGGTGGCCAAGGCAGCCAGATCTGTCTGTCCTGGCAGATTTCATCTGAGAACAATCTGTGCATATAAGGAAAATTGGAGAAGGAATCCCAGTTTTGGCCATGGGCCCCTGCAGGAAAAGGACAGTTCTCTCCCATAAGATTGAAAGCCCAGAGCCCCAGTGCTTCAGGGGCAGATGAGAAGCAGCCCTCAACATGCCAAGGTGAGCTGGACCTGTCAGGTGGTCCCCAGGAGGCCCAGCTAGCCAGACCTGTTCCATGTTCCCTTG